TGCAGAGAGACAGGAAGAATAGACAGATAAATGGGAAGCTAAACATGTCTTCCAAACAATGCAGAAACACTGACTCTCCTGCTTAAACGGAAAGGTACGTGTTCAGCAATCATCTCTGACGCACATTTCATTACTACTCTTTGATTGCACCGAAACTGATTTTCACAGCAGTACAGGAATACGGCTAGACATTTACTGAAACACAATCATGGCTAAGTAACCATGGTTACCTTATTCATGGGCATGACAACTTTCTGGAGCTGGACAAATAGTTCTTACTCTTCTCACCGATCCTGCTTACACACCATTGTCATTTAACACGCATGTTTAGCATAATAAAAAATGTAAAAGAATTGGCTGAACCAAAACAAGGTGAAAATAAACAACTGAATGTATGGTGCATTCAAGGTGGGGCTGTAAGAGCAGTGGTGGCTTAGTGGTTAGGGAAGTGCACTTGTAATTGAAAAATTGCTGGTTCAAATCCTCAACCAGCAAGACACCACTGAGGTACCCTGAACAAGGTACTGCTGCCCCCTGCTATGTCACAATCTGCTGTGATGTGTCAAGAATGATCACTAAATTCTAAGGTGCTGTTTAAATGTTTAGCATTTATACAATTAAAAAACAGGCCTAGCCGAAAATAAGTGCCAGAAATTAGCCTTGGGCTGTAAGTATTATATACGAGCCATCTGTTACTTGTTTTTCATTTGTGTAGGGACCAGAAAATACACATAAATAAATATAAAACGGCTTATAGTGTTGCTTAGATTATTTTTCCCAGAAAGCCCTCTCGGCCCCAGACATGTAAACCTAAGATATCTCTCACCTATGCATAACCCCACGCGCTTGCGCGTATGCACACACACAGACACACACACACAGGCACACACACACAGACACACACACACAGACAGACAGACACTCCCACATCCATCCAGGCTATCTATCTGCCTGTCTCACTCGAGCACACACAGGAATTCGAAGCAGGATCACAGATTAATTCAGTCATGGGCTCTTACCTGTTATCTTCCTTGCAGCTGTACCTGACTGATAGAGGTGCACATAATTGTGATGCAGGTATTTCACAAATACCCAGACTAGACCTGCATACTAAGCTATGCACAGGGTGAGCTGAGGAATTTCACCCCTGGCCAATTCAGCTGCATGCGCTTAATCAAATGCCGGTAAGAAGAATCCATTCAGGACTTCTGGGGCGACGACCCGTTCACCCCACCGGGGAAGCCTTCGGATTGGCTGAGGAGCATCCAGAAGCATCGTGGTGAGAACTAGTGGAGATTCCAACAATCTCCATACTTGTTTGAAGAAGGGAAGTGTTTGCATCCCCTCCCCCCCCCAAGCCCCCACCACCACCACCACTCCACCCATAGCTAAGTACAATTTTATGACTGGCTACTTTCTAACCCGCGGTTTCCTCCACTAAGGTGACTGTCCAGAATAAACACCGGTCAGCTGTTAATAACCCCCAAGAAAAACTCATCTCCGCCTTTTCCATTTTCCTTGCTCCGCCTGACCTTTCCACTCCTCCTCTCCTCACACTGATGATTTTGCACCTCACTTCAAAGGGAAGGTGGTCACCGACTTCCTCCGATGACTCTCCAGGCTCCTGCAGTGCGTTTCGGTAAAATGACCCTCTCTCTCTCTAACACAGACACCTTGAGAGGTGCTCCTGTCTCCTACCCACCTGTCCTCTTTCCCTTGAGACTTTCTCTCCCCACCTGCTTCTCATGTTCTGCACTCCTGTCAACATCTATCTTTCCTGCCTCCATAGTAGCACAGGACTCATTGAAGCACCTTACAGCCCAACGCACTGCAGAATTACTAACCAGTATTGCTTTTCTTCCTTTTCTCCAGAAGTTCCTGCATTAAAAAAAAAAAAACAAAATACATCTCTTTCCCATGACTGGATGCAAGTTTGGCTGCAAGACTAGTGGCATGTGACTGATAGTGGCTGAACCCCAGGGGGCTGCTGTGTGGCTCAGCGACTTAGTGAACAGTGGTTGTGAACAAAAGGTCACCAGTTCAAATCCCAGAATTGACAGGGCGATTTTACCATTGGGCCCTAGAGCGAGGTCCTTAACCCCCTAATTGCTCCAGGGACTATCTGACTCTGTAGCAGCCATTAATTCATTTATACTGGCTTATATTAAAACCCTTTACAAAATGTATGTCATTTTGAATACAAACATCTGCTAAACAAATGTAATGTAGGCCAGGGCACCCATTCTGGCTGTTTCTAAGGTTCTCCCTTGTTCTCATCTTCCAGGATCTGTCTGTAGATCATCTCTGGATCTCATCACATCTTTCTATGACTACATCTATAATCAAAGAAAGTGTACAACCCTGGCTAAACTCTTACCTCCCAGGCAGGTCTGACCAGATGGCCTGAACCTCAAACCCCTTTCTACTGGTCCCCCCAGGAGTTCCTTCAGGGTCCCCTTCTCTTTTCTCTGGGCTCTGTCTCCGATATCCTCTTACAGCTCCTCCCCCCCCCACACCAACGCTCAGGTTTCTTTCCAGATTACTACATCTCCCCCTGACATCTCCACCTGCATAACAGACAACAACCTCCAATGTAGTTTGTTCTCATCGCCCAGTAACTCCATCATATCACTGTGAGTAGATCTAATGAAAGAACCTTATGGTGCATCATCTACACTCTTAAAAGCCTTGGGATCATTTCTGACACAAACTTCACCTGCTTCCATCGTACATAAACCCAGTTGTTGGGACCAGGTTTCAGTTACCAAATGATGAAGCTTGTACAGTATCAAATTCTAGACCTTGGCTCTCTCCTGGCGACCTCAGAAACAGCTCATTCGTGCTTAGAAAATTTCAACAAACTTCACAACATGCCTCTGCACCAAGTTGTTTGATGAGTTCAGGTCTGCAAGTTCAAGAAATCAAAATTCAAACTGTTTTTGACCCAGGTGTTGACAAACAACCATCTGCTTCAACCTCAAAGACTGCAGAATCCCTCTGGCTCTACAAGAATTACCTTAAGACTCATGTCTTCTAACTGCACATCAGCTCTCAATTCAGGAGCATGTTCAAAAACACTTTTAAATATCTTTTCCTGTTGGTGCATCTGAACTTGGTGCTTAGATATATTAGTAGGTTTTTTAAAGTTGTACGGCATAAATTCTGAGACAATATCTGAACAGGTAATATATACAGTATGTATATCATAGAGTGTAATCAGTTGCCGATTTATTAGGTACACTTTAGTATTGGGCAGGACTCACTTATGCTTCCAAAATGGCTTCAGGTATGGACAAGTTGTGTGTTCAATGAAGTCATTCAGCAGACCACTGTTGTACTGAGGTGTTATTGTTGCACTTGTGACCTTCCTGTTAGCTTTAACGAATCTGGCCATCCTCCCTTGCCCTCTCTCATTAACAAGGTATTTTCACCCAGAGAGCCTCTGACTGGATGTTTTTTTGTTCATTGAACCATTTACTGTAAACCCCAGACCCTGAACTGCATGAGCGTCCCAAGAGGGTGGCTGTTTCTGAAGTGCTGGAAGCAGCTTGTATGGTACCAACAATCACGCCACATTCAGAAGTTCTTAGATCATGCATCTCAGCATCTTAGCCATAGAGTAGTTGATCCTCTTGATTCTGTGCACCTAATAAATTGGCCACTGAGTGTATATGTGTGTGTGTGTGTGTGTGTGTGTGCGTGTGCGAGCGGATTTACCTATCCTTATGGAGACACAATGTCCCCATAACGTGATAAATATCCGGTTTTTTTCCCTTATGGGGACCGGTTTCCTGGTCCCCATAAGGGAAAACTCTATTTTATAAAAATTGGTGACTGCTATGAAAAAACTAAAAATGCAAAAACTCTTGTAATTTGTTTGGTACTTATGGTTATGGTTAGGGCAGGGTAGGGGTTAAGGTTATCATAGTTAGCGTTAGCATTTTTCCCATTGAAATGAATGAGCGGTCCCCATAAGGATATGTTTACCCTACATTTGCGTGCGTGTGTGTGTGTGTGTGTGTGTGTGTGTGTGTATACACACACACACACCCTGTACGTTTATTGGTTTGTAAATTATGTTTATGCTTTTTGTCAGTTCAGCATACTTATTTATAACTGACCTGTTTTATTTTTTATATGCTAGACAAAAGTTCATTTACATAGGCGAATTTATACTAATTGCCAATTAACATTTGCTCTATGATTTTCAGAGCAGCAGGCTTTAAATGGATTATCTGTAATTTAAACACAAGCTCCTCCTAAATAGTCATGAAATATACAATGTCAGAAGCACCAAAATTAAAACTTAAAAATATATATCATACTTCCCCAAACCATTAGCCGCCTATATAAACATCCAACTATTTTAACAGGCCACGATAATGTGGGATTTTGTTTCATATATGAATCACATAATTAACATTTGACTTTTTAATTAAAAGTACTTTTTAAATAGACAAATATTTATATAACCCTGGGATTTTTTGTACAAAAAAATCCTAAAATACACAGCCCATGAACTTCCCAGATTTAGAGTCTTGCGGCCTCATTTATGATACCCCATCTGGAAGCTTCTGTGACTTTACACACTCCAGCCTCCCAGCTTCGCGTGAACGGGGGCTTTTGTGCTCGGACAGCCTCGGCTGACCTCCTGCCTGCTTCGTCTCTCGGCTCGGCGGAAAAAAAAATAACAAGAGCCGCAGTCAGAGATGGCAGAGCAAACACGGAACGGCAGGAAGACGGAGAAACCCGGAGAGACCAAAGTAAGGACAGCGGCCCCGAAAGCCAGATCGAGAGTCCGCGTCGGCATTCGGCCGCTGAGGCTCGGTGACAAAACATAGACGCTAAAAGCTGCCCGTTCTCACCAGGCCACCGACCTCAACCCCGAGCACCTGCCGAGGCCTAACGGGCCAAACAAAAATGTACAAAGAGTTGAACCAAAACAATTACACACTCGGATTAAAATATGCAGGAGACGACTGAGGACTCGGGAGCAGAAGTGAGATATATCAGTGCTGAGAATCTTTATTGTGACTGGACACAGATTACACTGTGCGAAGAGATTCCACCTCCCAGCATCCTGTCATACATACACATATATATTCATATATACACAGTGACTTCCACATTCACCTTAACTATAAGAGATGAACGGACAAATAGCATGAGTGTACTGTAAGTGTTGTGTTTGTCATCCTGCCAAAAAAATGACTTCACCATCCCAATCAGTGTAATTTGAATGATTTTTTTTTCCAGGGGATCTCTGTTGGCACATTTTTAAGTTAAAAAAGATTAGTTACAATAACATAACTATGTATAAACATGACCTGTTGTATTATCTAAATGTGCATGTATATCTTTGTGAAAATGGGGCTGACTGAATAGTGATGTGCTTAAAAATTTATAGACAAGAAAAATCAGGGGACAGGGTTGGATGTTTCTGATTTCTTGTTTTTTTTTTTTTCCTTTTCTGAGAGAGGTCTAAATAACCCTAACCTCCAGTCTGAAAGCAGCAAGTTCAGGGAGCGTTTAAGTAAACATTGCTGGAGCAGTCGATGTGACTACAGGCCCCCGCTGAACAGTCCCAGGGCTTTCAAACACATGAGGGGATCCTGTACGCCCACATTCAGAAGCCCCGGGAGGACCCTACCAAGCCCAGCGGTCGGACCCCCGTGCAAGGGGAAGCCAAAACCTCACGAAGAGTGCCTCCTCTCCAGGGGGCCGGCGACCGCGGCACAGAACAAACACCAGGTGGGGTCAGGGGCGGGCGGGGGGCCAAACATAACCGTCATGGTTTTCTGATAAACACAGAGAGGTCTGGACTAACTCCTGCATTTTCCAGAGCTGCTCTGACACATGCAATTATATAAAAATTTAAATATTATTTCTGCAAAAATAAACAGCTTTGCACACATTTAAAATTAACTGTTAAATAGTTATGTTTGGGGCATAAACAGAATAAATATTTCTGCTAATGAATACAGGGTATAATTCAAATGGAGGTCACTGCATGTATATCTGCATATATATGTATATAAGAAATACAACAGTACATAAAAAAGGCAAATCAATAATAGAAAAAAAAATCATTGGTATATGATAATAGCAGGTCTTCAATGTGAAGACCAGATGTGAACGTTCAGGATTCCCAGTGGCCAGTATATTACTGTCCACAGCAGCAAGGGGAGATGCTGAGTCAGGGTTGGGTCCCTGGTCCTAGGGGGGGGGGGGGGGGCAGGTGTCAGTTTTTGGAGGGAGGAGGTAAGACTAACCTGTCACCTGTGGACCAGACAGAGGCAGAATTCAGCACCATCCATAGCCACTCAGCATAACAATTATCTTGATCTTCACAGTCACTTATAAAAACCACCCACAATTTATTGCTCATTTTGATTGAACTCCATGTTCTGTGAAGAATTGGACAGCGGGTTTTTCAGTCTCTTCTTGCATCCAGTCCGCCAAGGCAGAAATGAAAACATCCAAAAAAGAAACCATGTCCAGATACTTAAAAAAAATAATTATGGAATACCACCATTTCTAAGCTAAAAAGTGCCAATTTTGAATCAGCCCTCTTTTCAACCTGTAAAGTCAGATTTGTTTAAATAGTTTTAGTTAAAGAATAAGCCCATGTGAGGGATTATGTTGATCAATTCAGACATAGGATGGCTCTTGGGGAAAACGGGATATCTGTATCAAGCATACAACAGTTGGCCCATTGAGAGAAGTCCATTGAAACACTAGTGTCTTCATAAATACCAAAGGACCTTCCGTAGGAATCATTTATACAGCTTCTCCCGTTCTGCTTTGACTTTCACAGGCTTAAAAATGACAAAGTGATTAAAACACTCTGTGCTAAAGATCCCCTTCTATTTTCGTTGGCGTCGATTTTTCAGAGGGAACCGTAATCTGAACCAGGCACTGTCAGAATCCACTCCCCTGCACCCGCCCCTTCGTCAGTCCGAACGCAGACGAGTGCGAGTCGAAGAGGAGGAGGAGGAAGACGGCGCCATTCCTTTGTCTTCCCCCAAGGCAGCATCGAGGAGCAGGGCAGCTTGGCGACTCAATGAACAGCTCTCTCTAATAAGCTAATGCTAAACAACCTGCAGACGACCAGCTTTTGGCAACAAATCAACCTGGGTTGAACGAATGCTGTTTTTTTGTTTCGTTTGTTTCGCTTGTCGATTTCCAGTCGAACGAGGGTCGCGTGTTTGATGAGCACCTGTGGGGTGTCTGATGGCTCCGCTGGGTTAAAGGCAGGCACGCGTCACAGTTCAGGAAGGAGTCAGTACTGCATAGACATAGTGATGGGGCTCTTGTGTACCCGCAGGGTCTGGATGCTGGAGAGGATCTTCTTCTGGTGTCCTGCCAATGTGACCCCAATGCGCAGGAGGTCCCTGAGAGGGGGTGGAAAACATAAGTGCATCTCACACAGACCATACATGACTCTCCAATGTGGCCAGACAGAAAGGCGGGGGCTGGGGGGGGGGGGCACGACGCTTAAAGTTGAAGTGCTGGGAGACTCACTCTGTGGAGATCTGTGAGATAAGCTCGAAGCTGGTGAAGCCAGCCTGGAGGAAGCTGTCCTCGTATCGCTCCATCTTGATGGCCCTGAGCCACTCTCCCACTGAGCCGCAGGCGGATAGCGGAGGGGGGGTGCGCTGGTCCAGCAGGGGATGGGACGGCCTGGGGAAGGAGAGGAGGTTAATGAACACCCCCTAATCAGCGGAGATGGGCCAGCTAACAAAGGCATTGTAACTGGCAGGACATTCCACTGAAAGGAAATGTGGGGAGGGACAGAGGGGTGGGAGCAGACACTGTCACTCAGAAGAACGGGACATTCCACTGAGGGGGGCGGGGAGGAAATAGGAGAATCAATCTAAGAAACAGCATATTCTACTGAGGGAGAAGTGGGCGGAGCACCACGAGAAAATCAGAGATGGAGCATTCCACTGAGGGGGATCACGGGGGAGGGGGGTCACAGCCTTTCTGACTGACAGCACATTCCACTGACAGACAGTTGGGGGGGGGGGCTTAAGACTAGAGTTTCAGGCTGTCGGGATTCTACAGAGAGATGTCTGTTTGTTGAGCTTTTCCAGCAGGGGGCAAGTGAAAAAGAGCAGAAGAAAGTAGGCAGGGGGGCAATGGCAGCCTAGACTCCCACAGGGAGACACACAAGGTGCTGCATGAGCTGGGACAGGAGAATCCGAGTGAAAGGACACTGCTCTGTGTGTGTGTCCACAGCGGGAGGACGGTGGGGGGCCAGCTCCGAAAGTGGCATTGATTGACAGGCTACAGCAGGATATCAGCTCTGACAGCCTGTTGAGGCGTTAATAGAGTCAGTGATGTTTGGGGCAGGATATTAACTGAGACGAGAGATGATCTGAGGGGCTACAGACATGCATAGCCTAGTCTGAAGCCTCTCGTCTGAATGGCTCGCCACCCCCCTCCCCCCACCCCAAGTCCCCCTTGAGTATGGATGTGCAGAGGAGGCTGAAAATTCCTCGGCTCAATGGTAATGCCTGTTGAGGCGGGAGTTTCCCAGCGCTCCACACCCAGCCTGCTGTTCCATTTCCTCCCCACAGGAGTCCCTGAAGGACCCGTACAGGAACCGCTCATTAACAGGCTGAAATCATCCCGTAAGAGGTAAGGCCGCTCCGGGCCGCTAGCCCGAGTGGAAGTACGACCCTTTCCCGGTGACCTGACTCACCCTCCTCCTTCCCGGGAGACGATCTTGAGTGAGGCCGGGTTGCGTATCAGCTTGTCCAGGGCGCTGACGATGGTACTGAAGCGGGGTCGCGCTGCCCGGTCCTTCTGCCAGCAGTCCAGCATCAGCTGGTGCAGGGAGGTGGGGCAGTCGGGCGGCGGGGGCAGCCGGTAGTCCTGCTCGATGGCGTTGATCACCTGGGGAGGACAGGCAGGGGAAGATGGGCAACTAAGCGGGCCCACCGGTCCACGTGACCCTCACGGTATAGAGGGAACACAACTGCCAATACGGACAAATATGAGATGCTGCCAGCACACTCACATCTTGGTTGCTCATATCCCAGTAGGGCCTCTCTCCGAAGGACATGACTTCCCACATGACAATGCCATAGCTCCAGACATCTGAGGCCGAGGTGAACTTGCGGAAGGCGATGGCCTCCGGGGCCGTCCAGCGGATAGGGATCTTCCCTCCCTGGGACACAGAGAAAACACTGCACTGCACTGGATTCCAAAGCTGCTTCCATCATTCCCAAAAGTCATGAACAAAGACAGTTTGTTAATGAGTGGATATCAGAGGTGGGGACTCGAGTCACTGACTCGTGACTTGACTCAGATTCAAATTTTATGACTCGACTCAGCAAAACTGATGGAAAGACTTGGAGTTGACTTGGACTTGACGGCAACAACTCGAGACTTAGACATGACATGGACCCTATGACTCGAGAAGATTTGAGGTTAGTCGCACCTCTGGATACCATACCATTAATTTTATAATTTCAATGTATATTAATTCTCTGCTGTCTGCATTTTCAATTGCCCGAATGCAAGAGATAATTTGTTGGAAAGATGCATCACTCCTTGCATATATACGGACATAAAAACTGTGTGAGGACAACCATGAGTGTACATTATCTTTTCAACCTATCTCTGTCTATAAAGAACATATCGTACGATGTACTGTGGTGAGTTTTTGCTGCAGCAAGTTTTAATCACTAAAGGTAAAAAAAAACTGACATAGGTAGGAACTCAAGTTACATGAATCACAACTCAATCTGGATTGGAGTCACAAATTTTATGACTTTTGACTTGACAGCAAAAAGACTTGGATTTGACTTAGACTTGAAGGCAAATGACTCAAGACTTGACTTGGACTGCAATGTTTTGACTCAAGACTTGAACTTGACTAGATGGCTAGATGGTTAGAAGGGGGCTGGACACAGGTATATGGTGTTAAAAGTTTGTGAATTGGCCCGTTTGCTCACCAGGGAGCTGGTGTACGTCGGGTCAGAGGAGTTCTCCTGCAGGAAGCGTGACAGGCCAAAGTCGGACACCTTGCACACCAGGTTGCTATTGACCAGGATGTTGCGGGCAGCAAGGTCTCGGTGGACGTAGCTCATCTCTGACAGGTACTTCATCCCCGAGGCGATGCCCCGTAGCATGCCCACCAGCTGGATGGGGGTGAACTGCCCATCGTTTTGCTGTAGGAGAAGGTGGAGGAGATGGGCTTGACGTTAGCAGTGATCATATGAGGGCAAAGAGATTGAAAGTAAGAGGAAGAAGATCGAGGAGAAGGAGGAAGGAGTAAGAAATAGAAAGAGGGAAACAAAGATTCAATGAAAGAGGGAAAAGTCCACGACCTAAAAACATGATCTGTTTAAGGTTTTTTGTTAAAAGCAAGAAAAAAAACAAACAATACTGGGTAGATTCATCTTAATCTCTCTAGCTGCTTAATCCAGGTCAAAGAAAATGCAACCGAAAGACATGAGCCACTTCAGATCCTCGGAACAACATCTGCCGGGCTCGAGATCATTCCCTAAAGAATGCTGAAAAGAACCAGAACAACTCCATCATGAAGAACAAGGGAGCGAGACAGACGAATGGACGAACCCTGAGGAAGGAGTCCAGGGCGCCGTTCTCCATGTACTCGGTGAGGATCATGACGGGGCAGCTGGCGGTGATGACGCCCTCCAGGTGGATGATGTTGGGATGCTGGAACTGGCCCATGATGCTGGCCTCGCTCAGGAAGTCCCGCCTCTGCTTGTCCGTGTAGCCGCCCTTCAGGGTCTTGATAGCCACGTAGTTCTCCTTCTTCCCGGGGACCTTGAGTCGGCCGCGGCACACCTCGCCAAATTCCCCTGTGCAGTGCCAGTGGGAAAATGGTCACGCTCATAACCTAGCCTTGTAGGGCTCACTGAGTGGGGGACCGGGAGTAGGGGAGGGGGCTGCTTCAAACTCCAGTGTTTAATATTTGGGATTGAATTTGACTAGAACGTTTAATTCTGCGGCACAGCCCGGGGACGCAAACTGTGTGGCATGTCTGCTTCACATTTCATTCTCGGACATCTACCTTCCTGCAGCAAGCTCAGCCTCCAGAACATGCATATATTTATGGACATGCGTACGTACACGTACATGATTAAATACGTCTGAGATGTCGATCCATAACTGACTGTGAAAGCCGTGTGTGCGGCCTGTCTAGATTTAATTCATTATCTGCAAAAGCCCAAACACTCTAAACGAATGCGACCTTGCACAGCCTCTCGTGTTCCAGTAAGGAATAAAATTTCGTCTCGCTAGAACCCCCCCCCCACCACCACCACCACCATACGAGGGAGGGAAGCAAATCGGGGGACAGAGGGGAAAATGAGTCAAACCTCGCTAGGGAGTTAGGGAAATACTGCAGCTTGTCATCGCCTGGGGTAAAATGCAGACCTCCCAATACCCAGATTTCAGTCTTAGCTGCATTCCTGTAATGTCATCACTTGTATTAACATTACAGAAGCACCATTATTGTTGTACCGCTAGTCATTGGTACTCGAAACATGAGTGCCTTTTATAATTAAAACGCCCATGGGTATATTAGCGAAGTCGTCTTACTTGCCCGCCTTCACCCGATACGCCTTGCGTTCCGTTTGACCCGCAAACCGAAGGGCAGCGGTGTGCCGACTGCGCTCGGCTCGTTATCTGTTACCCAGGACGTGGCCCAGAGAAGGCGGCAGAGGCTCACCCGCACCGATGACCTCCTCGATCTTCACGAAGGACACGTCGATCTCCTTGGCGAACTCCCGGACGGCCTCGTTGGGGTCCTCGTAGGTGAAGGGGTCGATGTACACCTTGATTCCTGCAGTAGGCAGGGGGAAACGGGATTCTATATTTGCCCAAGAAACATTATACGTTTTTGAAAGGCTAGTTTTGCAAGGTGTTCCAATGGTGTAAAACATTAAAAAGCTTAACCATTTCTTTGCAGCATGTGATAAGCGATTCAGCTGCATTACAGGGTTCCGTCAACAATAAAATAACTAGTATTTTCTACTGGAGTGACAAGCTTACCCTGACCAATGAGGTACTGTCCATTCTTGTCACTCAACTCTGGGTCCTTCGTCCTCATTCGTTTCCTGCACCAGGTTAGGGTCATCAGTTTAGTGCCCATTTCGGCATGTTGCACAAGACAAATGTCACATATTTGCCCCACAAAAAGGACACAAAATTCTCAGGCTCTCAGGCTCCCAGCCCTCCCTGCTTTGTGATGCCTATCTATGACCTCTGCCCTCTCTTTCCAAAAAAAAGTGGGACACACTTATTCAGGTTGACATGGATCCTGAATCAGGGAGTACAGTGGAGGCAGTGTGTTCCACACACGTGCACACACACACACACACACACACACACACACAGATACACTCACAGACACACATACACGTGCCCCTCTCTTCTCCTGCCTCCATCTTTATCTTCCCATCTCGTTTGGGTCTCCAGTTTCAAGTTAAAATTATGTCTTGGGCCTTGGGGTCGATCGGTCGCTGCCAGGGATTCTCTGAGTAACCGAATCCATCCGTCCCCTCGGCCCCCCTCTCTTTCTCTCTCTCTCTCTCTTTCCCTCAGTCTCCTTTCTCTCCCCCTCTCCTTCTCAGGCAGGACTAAAATAGCTGTGGTGTCCACCCACTGCCTCCTGGTCACTTGGCGGAGTGGCTCTCATTGTATGCCTCCTGGGGTCAGCCCCATTGTTCTGGGGTCCCAGGCCATGGAGGTGGCCTGGGCGGCTGCATCCTGTCTCCCTACTGCCTGCCCAGGCGCCCCTGCCTCAAGAACTGGGACCTGGCCCGCGAAAATGCAGTGTGCACATCTTCCTGCACGCACACACACACACAGATGCCACTCTGTGGGCCGGGTGAAGCGGCAGAGGGTCGTGAGGATGCTGTTCAATTGTTACCAAACTAAAGCTGGAAATGGCTCCATGAGCGGCAACCTTGATTTGTTTTCGCTTTTTTTTTTTGACGTGCCTGGAATTTCCTAATGGCCTGTGTTTATTGATGGAATAATTCATTCTTTCCTGTTTCTCCTTATTCTGCCATGTCTACCCTCTCATCATCCATTAATGATAGAAAAACAGGAATTGAGAAGTGGCACATTCGCACACACGTACCCAGTAAACCTTGCCCACACCCACATTCCTCTTTTCCATGCCCACATGCCCAACATGCTCCGCCCATTTGCCCAACCTGGCCCCACCTACAATATTTCTCCAGTCCCTCCCATCCTCACCG